TTAATCAATATATTCATTATTGCATTCATATGTATATATAATATATATATATGAGATAGTGATCGAATTTATAGTTTTTGTTAAAAAAAAATTCATTAATTTTAATATTTATATTTATTCCTTTTATATCCAATATCAAAAATTATTCAAAAGTGTCGAAAAAATTGCTTTGGAATTTAAAAAATCTCCGAATTTTGTTTCAGAATCATATCCGCATAATCAAATTTTAGCTTGTCCCCATGTTACAAATTCTACCACACTTGCTTCAAATTGTAAGGACAATTGTTTTGGCCCTCAACTTCCCTAGAATATATCCATGCCGTTGGAGAGTTGGGGTTCATTTGTACTGTAAAAATTAATGGTAAAAAGTTAATGATTATCAAAATAAAATTTAAATGCCATTAGAACAAATTTAGTACATAAAAAAAAAAAAAGACAATGAACTTGATTTAAAAAAATTATATTGATTTGCTGATTTTTATGTTATTTATTTTTTAACCAATTTAAATAACTAGGAAAATATGTAGAAAATCGTTGCATTCTAATATATTCAAAATTTTAAAAATATTTAAATAAACTAAATAAAACATAAATAGACTTAAAAAATTATATAAAAAATATGTAACACATCTTTATTTAATAATCTAATTAAATTTCAAAATTTAGACAAATTATAAATAAACAAAAATATATACAAAATTAACAAATTATAGCTCTCTTACTAAATTAATAAGAGATTTAGACAATTTTGTAAATATTATAAAATAATTGTTAAACCATAAAAATAATTATAGCATTTTAAGTAGAAAATAAATGCATTAACATCTACCATCTTCAATTGTGACATCTAGAATTTATATTGTTGGAACGCTAGGGATGATGGAAGCATTCAAAGCATGTTTGAGATAAAAGGGTCTCAACTTCTATTGCGGGCCTTGAGGCAAGCCCGAAAGAAGTTAAAATGTCAAAAATAAAAACAAGAATAAAAACAAGGATACACTATTGAATAAGTACAGAGGTCGGGGCGTGTGGTCGATAGTTATTGTCAAAAATAAAATGGTGATAACATATAGATTAAATTTGAAGAGTACAGCAGAGTTGTTTCGTCAACTGATGCCAATTGATCAATCAAAGGTTGTTGATGCTCTTTGGTACTCGTTGATTGGTCATGATGATATAGAAAATCTTCATCAAGATGTTGTTGTAAATCTTCATTAAAGCTTGTCGGGCAGTGTTGCTTAATAAGATTGTCATCCCACGACCAAAAACTTCATTAAATCTTCCGTTTTTGATCTGAAATGTGTGCAAATGCTATGCAACCAAATATTCGAAAGTGATCGACATTTGATTTATGGCCATTCCAAGCTTCTTCAGGTGTCATTATTTTTACAGAAAAATGTGGGACTGCGATTTAACAAATACACACTCATATTGACAGCCTCCGGCCAAAACTCTTTCATCAATCCACTTTTCTTCAAAATGGTTCGAACCATGTCCATGATAGTTCGATTCTTTCGCTCCGCAACGCCATTCTGTTGCGGTGAATAGGCTACAGTAAGATGCTTTTGAATTTCACTCAATTCACAAAATTCTATGAAACTTTGTGAATTATATTTTACACCACGATCGGTCCGAAGTATCTTGATCGGCACTTTCCATTTTTGCCGTAAGACACATTCAAGATGATTCATCAAGAGCTAGCGGGAACATTCTGTTTGAAGACATATGGATTTGAGCAATTAGGCTTTGTTCCTTGTCTCGGATTTGACAAACTCCATTCTTTATGGCAATATCAAACCCTATCTCTTGAAGTTGACATGCACTAAGCAAATTAGTTTTCAAATCCGGAACAAAGAATACATTACCAATTCTTTGACCAGAGTTATTTCCGGCATGTGTTTTGACACTTCCATTTCCGGTGATAGGAACTATGGAACTATCTCCAAATTTCACGGTGTTCCTGAACGATTCATCCAAATCTGAAAACATTGAGGGATCTCCACACATATGATTGCTACACCCTGTGGCGAGATACCATATATATTCTTTTGAGTGTCTTCAGCATTATGACAAGCCATCAAGAGAGATACTTTCACCACGCTCTCGATGTAATTTAGTTCTACATTCAGATTTGTAGTGACCAAATTTATGACATCAAAAGCACTCTATATTGGACTTTGTTTTGGTACCACTTAAATGAAGATAAGTCTTTCCCTTTTGAAAATCTGAAGCTGAATCATCATTTGTTTTTATACGTGTGTTCTTGTCCTTTCATTTCCCCTTTCCCTTGTTTGAGCCTCTAGAATAAGTTGATGCATTTAAAGTTTGTTCTTCCAAATCCTGCTTAATGATTTTTGGCTCATGAATCATCAATGAACTTTTTGCAAATCATCGATCGTCAATTCATCGATGTCTTTAGATTCTTCTATAGAACAAATGATGAAATTAAACTTTGGAGTTATAGATTTGAGAATCTTTTCAACAACTGTCACATCTTCGATCTTCTCACCATGAACTCTCAATTTATTAACAACGATCAATACTCGAGACAAATAATCTTTGACTGACTCACCTGCCTTCATTCGTAGCGTTTCAAAATCAGTATGGAGGACTTGTAGTTGAACACGTTTTGCCTTTACACTTCCACGGTATTTATGTTTTAGAGAGTCCCAAATTTGTTTGGAGGTATCTTTACAAAGAATCATCTCCAAAGTAGGACGATCAATTGCCTGAAATAGGTAATTCTTAGCCTTCAGGTCCTTCAATTTCAATGTTTCTATTTCAGCCCGTCTTTCATCGGATACTACGGTACCCTCTGGCAAATCTGGTACTCCAGATTCTACAACACCCCAATATTCCTTCGATCTCAAGAAATTTTCCATCAACATGCTCCAATGATCATAGTGACAATCGAAGCAAGGAATAGATGCAGGGACAAACGATGCTTCGGTTGTCAATTTGTCATTGCTACAGAAAATTAGGAATCAAAGGTGGCTCTGATACTACTGTTACTCGGAATAAAGGAATACGCAATGAGAGAGATTTCTTACTTTATTTCATAGAGATTTTTACATATAATATATAATCAATACTAATTATTGAAAGGCATAAAATCAGCCCCTAAATGTATTTTAGAGAGTTGCTAAATCAATGGATAGACTAGTCAACCAAATGGATAGACTTTATTTAGCATAACTAACATATTCAACACCAACACATAACACCCTATAGGCTCACAGCTGCCCTTTCGAGGCAAAGATAAAAGCTCAATAAGATGCTCTGAGACTTCAAATTGTTATTCGACACCAAGAAGAGATGATGATATATGTAATACATATTTTGTTAAATAATTGAAAGTTAACATTTTTCTTTTTTTTATTTTGATTATTTCGAGCAAGTACCATTTATTATATTAATAAGCATAATGACAGTTTCTTTAGAAATTTTATGTGACGATACTCTGTTCGACAAATAAAAATAATCAAATTCACGTGAAAAGTTATATAATACGTAATTATATCCTTTATTTTTTTTATGATGAATATGTATCTAGTTATTGTTATATAGTTACTTTAAATGGATACTGTTGTTATACTATTGTAATATATTGTAGGTGCAACGGAGTGTTGCTATGATCTTGAAGGCTTTTGTGTAGGAAAAAACCCCAACACGGGGCTTTTATTTCCATTTCTTGCCAGCCAGGGTCTTCTCCAAAGCCCATTTATGCCGACAAATGAAAATGATATGGTTGGAGTGATCAACGGGGATGATGGTGGAGACAACGGGAGCGCAAATAACGAAGATGATGTCGTAGACTCGGATGAAAGGATACCTCCAACTGAGTATCAATGACATCCGTAAGTAAAAACTATAACGTATAATTTATAGCGAACATGAACTTGTGCATTTTGAACTGATGGTTGCGACTAGCTATATTTTGTTATAGTATGAAAGTCTTGTATTCGATTTGCCCTTACATTTTTGTTGGAGGGTAATCTATTGTATAGTGTATAGTTGAACATGATATTATAAAAAACGTGTATTTTGTAGCTTTTTGTCAAAATTGTTCGTGGTGCCCAACGGATGTGTATGACTTTGGTGCGAAAGTAGTATTATTTGATAAATTAGTATTTTTGTGCAATTTTGTAATTTATTTTTTTTATATGGAAATTTCAATTATATATATGGATATTAATCAATATAAAAAAATGGATGAGAAAAAGCAATTTGTAAAATGCTTCGAAAATTCTGAACCAATATATTATTATATTCGAGTTGAATGGTCTCAGTATTTCCGAGGTTATTTGAAATACAATACTCCATTAGACTGCGTGGAAATTTCGAGGCCATTTGTAATGCATTATTGCACCAAACCCCCCCCCCCCCCTATCACACCATTGTTTAATTTGGTAATAGAATCGGAAACTCTGAAGTTATTCTAAATTACTTCGAAAATTCTAAAGCTTTTGAAAATAACTTCGGAAAGTCCAAAGCGACGTTAATGGCAACAGATTTTTTTATGCGGATATGATTCTGAAATAAAATTCAAAGCCAAAATTAATTTATCTCGGACCCTTCCACTACTAGATAAAACAAATTTGACTTCGGAAAATAGCTTCGGAATATGAACTAGATTTGAGGCTATTTTTTTAAAGCCTCAGATTTTAGCTCGGATTGATGCCCGAAGACTAAATCTCGTTGCCCTTTTAATGGTCTCGGAAATTCCGATTTATTTCAAATAGCTTCGGAATATCCGAATCCAAATCCAAAGTTGTAGACCCAAGCGTATGAAATATGATTTTTTCTTCTTCGGAATTTTCGAAGCAATTACTAAAATTATTTTTAAAAAATTAATTGTATAATATAAAAATAAATATATAATTAGATTATACATTTATTTTTTTTTCAAATAATTTCTTCTTCGCCCGCCGCCCCGCCTCCGCTGCCTCCACCCCATTTGTGCTGCCCCCGCCGCCGGCAGAGGAAGATCAGAGGAAAAATCAACTGCCGCCAGTACCGTTGCTGCCACTGGAGAATGAAGAATAAGAAGAAGGAAGAGGGGGAGATCCGCCCGCCGCCGGAGCCGTAGAAGAAGAAGAAGAAAGAGAAGGAGGAGACTCTGCTGCCACTGCCGCCGTCGCCGGAGAAAAAGAAGAATGAGCTGCTGCTGCTTTGTTGCTCTCAACGGTCCACCGCTGCCGTCGAAGAAGAAAGAAGAATAAAGAGGAGAAGGAAAGAACGAAGAAGAAAAAAAAGGAAGGAAGAAATTAAAGGAGAAAGAAACAAAGGGAGTGCAGCAGTGGCGGTGGTACGGTAGTGTGCAATAGTTACGGAATAGCTTTGGACATTATGTATTTTTTAAAATAAATAATATTATATAAAAATTAGTCTCGAAATTTTTAAAACAATTAGAATAAAAATTATTTAATATTATTTATATTATTTTTTAGTAGTTTTGAAATTAATTTTGAAGCTTTTTCCGATGCTCATTTCTAAAATTCTAGTAGTGTTTTTAAATTTCGAGATAATTTTTCTGATACTTTTTTAATAAATTTTTATATTGGATATAAAAGAAAATTGTAAATATTAAAATTAAATGAGAATATATTTTTAACAAACAACTATAAATTGGATCAATATCTCATATATATTATATATATACATATGAATGTAATAATGAATATATTGATTAAAAAGGTATAAATTCGATGAAAAATGGAGTATATGTATCCCAAAAATTTTATACTATTTCTTTCCTAATTCAAAGTACTCTTTTTATCATTTTCGTGTGTCTACTTCAAAGTATTTTTATCCTATTTTTTAGAAAAAAATAATCATATCATACACTAGAGAACAGTTAGGGTGCTGATTTTCAAATCAGCACTCGTAATATATATAAACAGCGCACAGTTTTATTATACAAATTACTTTACACGTAAAGTCAACTGGCAATATCAAAAACCCTTATTCACTCTTACTGACTAATAAAATACTATTATTTTTTAATTTATTATAAAACCTCGAAAACCTTTGAATTTGAACTGAGAGAATTTTTTATTTTTTTTTATCTAGTCATTTTTTCTCTCTTACTGCACTGACGTAGTATATAACTTAAATTATTTTTAGGATAAATTATATAACACTCTTTTGTGTTTCAGTAAAAATGCACAAAACACCATGTGTTTTATTTATTGCGTGAAACCCATTTGTGTTAATGTAAAATTTGCACGAAACATCCATTGTTCAAAACTGATGTTCAATTCTAAATAAATACCTAAATTATGCAAGTTTTATAAAAACAAAAAATGTAAAATATCTTAAATAATTTTTTTAATAAAATAAATAAATAAATAATTGATCAATAATTTATTTTTACAATTTTTGTAAAAATCAGATAATAATTTGTTTTCAAAAACTATAGAATGAAGAATTAATTATGTATTTTTTTATTTATTTTATTCAAAAAATTATTTAACATATTTTACATTTTTTATTTATATAAAATTTGCGAAAATGAAGTGTTTCATGCAAACTTTACGTTAACACAGTAGAGTTTGATGCAACAAATAAAACAAATAGTATTTTGTATATTTTTACTAAAAACCATGTTACCTTATTTTTATTACTTATCATTATTTATTAATTTAGTTAGTTAGTTAGTTATTTATACAATGCCTTAATCCCATCAATATCATCCTTATTCAAATGCTTCCTAACTCCAGCATCAATGTACGGCCACATAACGGCATCCTTATCAGTCGAATGCCCTAACCCTAAAACATGCCCTAATTCATGCAATCCCACCGTCTCCAAATCCATCTTCCCCGCCTGCGCCGCGTCCGCCCACTGCTCGTCGCCGTCGAAGTGCAGCCGCCCGTCAGGCGGCGCAAACGCGTGCGCCACAATCCCGCCGGGGCCATCAAACGAGGCCCCATCCCCGTGCTCTCGGACCCGGAAGCTGATCTTAACGTCGGCATTGTTGTAATTAGGCGTTTGCGCAAATCTAAAACGGCACCTCGTGGCTCCATTCCTGAGTGGCGGCGCTAATGGCGGTGTACGCGTCCTGTCGGGTCCCCGCCGGGAAAGAGTACCAGAGGATTTTCTTGGTGGGCGACCACCGGGGTTGCCCGGGGAAGAAGGAGAAGTATGAAACCGCCGGGATTCGGCTTCCGGCGGCAGTGGGATTGTCGGGGACGCCGCAGCGGGGCTTCTGCAGCTGAGCTAGGGTTTTGGGGTCGAGAAATCCGGTGACTGGGAGGCTGAAGAATTTCTGGTAAGATTTGACGGCTTGTTCGAGCTCTTTGTCGAAATTGTCATTGTCTGCAAACTGAGATTTTCCGGACATGTGGCCGATGGCGTTGAGGTATTGTTTGAGTTTGGAGATTCCGGCGGCCGAGGTGCCTGGCCGGACTCCGGTTAGGGGTCGGAGAAAGTCCATGGAGGAGTCGGAGGAGATTGGGAGAAGGAAGAAGAAAATTGAAGTGATTATTGTTATTAGGAATGATCGAATGAATTTGGATTCCATGATTGGTTTTTTTGTGTGATTTGAGGTTAAGAATGGACCCTTTTTTATAGGGTTTAATTTGTAGGAATTGTGTGGAATTGATTAGTTGGATGTAGTTTAAAGGTAGTTAATTTGAGATTTTGGTTAATGGGACAAGTAATGTAGTTTGAGATTTTATTAAAGATAGGGTTTTTCCAATTTATTGATGAGATGTATGTAAAATATTAATGCAAATTAGCCCTCAATTTGTGTGTTCTTGAATTGTATTTTGATTTCTTGAAATTGTCCTTACAATTTTTATTTTTTATATTTTCCGTTTTAAATACAGAGAAAAAACTTTGTTTCTTTTAATTAATTTTATTTTTTATTATAGAGTTATAATGTTTTGACTTGCAACATAACATAATTTGCTATTATTATGGTGGTGGTAGTAAGATAACCAGCATGTTAATATTTTATATGTTTTATAAATAGATAAACATGTTTTATTAGAGTGGGCTCATCAATACAAACTCTTTCCCTCCATTTTTCGAAGCCTTTTTTTTCTCCTTTCGAAAGATGTCATCACTAGTGATATATTTTTCGACCGTATAATTTCGATTAAAAATCGAGTGAGCCCTCGTACAGACAAAGCTTGATTGACGGCATCTCTTTTTTCAACATTGTCATCTTTCTCCACGATGTGGTCTTCTTTTCTTTTCCGAACCTATCCCATCCCCATCGCCGACGACTGCTCTCCTCCCTCTTCTTGTCATTTCACCGTGTCATCCCTCCACTTGGCTGCCCATGTTCATACACACTTCTTCCTCCGCCTATTTCTTTAGTTTACTAATTTTCAATTGTAAAACTTTTAGAAAAAAATAATAAATAGATACGCAGAACTTTGAATTTACTAAGCAAATGGCATTCTCTACTAGGCATCTTCAATATGCAACCCATTGCAGCAAAAGCACAAACACGATCGTGTTAACCAAATAGAATAGTAAATTTAACACATGGCCTTGTGTTCATCAATGTTTGTAAGATTGGGGACAACCCATCTATGATGTAAATATTAAAGGTGGCGATTCTGACCGAAAAAAGTAGGCCCAAGCACGATCCGGTTTGAAACCGGGCCGTGCCGGGCTTCAAATGGTGCAGGTGAAAATTGAACTCACAACTAAATGTAAGTAAACTAAAAACTTCATCATAAGTCATATCTTATTTTTGTCATTATTTGATTAGGTAATATACATATAAAGATATTAAATTTTAAATTTTAATTTTAATAAATCGGCCGGACCAAACACATGCCGACCTGCCCAAACACAGCCTGATTCATTAGCATGAACAAAAATTTTCCGACGAATTTTCGAGATGCCTGTTTTTTTGCCACCCATATATATATAGAGAGGGTAGGGTGTGTTTGTTTTTAGAATTTTACCAAAAATCAATTATTCATCAAAAAAAATTTCACCAAAAATATCAAGAAATCAATTATCGTATCAACAATATTTATATCACTATCATATAACTATTTCAATTCAAAAATTTTACTATTCAAATCCTCGAATAAACACACCCAAGAACTAAGAAGAAGAAAAAAAAATGAATCTTTTCGATTCTGCAAATGAATCCCCCAAATGTTTGAGAAAAAAATGCATTGTACATTATATGCAATTGATGATTCTATGTAACATATGAACATGCTAAGAAAAAAAAAAAAAACCCAAGTCTACCAATGTACACTGCTTAAATCTACACATGTATATTGTCTATACACATCTACTCAAGATTTACAGTATCCATACCGGAGGATCCCCGGTGAGTTGCCGCGACGAGGGCAGCGCCGACGCTCGATCCGTCCTCGATCAATTTCAGGACAACATGGGAAGCCACTTCCTCGCCTAGGATCTGCTCGACTGCTTCGTTCAGATACTCTCGGAAAATCGCATAGTTTGCGTACAAGCCTCCCTCGACAGCCACGACAGTCCTCTGCATCTTGATATGGACTGTGCCTTTTTTTTTACGGCTTGGGAATCCGCCATAGCCGTCCCGGCCGATCTTTCTCAAGATCCCAACAATGCCGGCTGCCGCCAATCTTGCTGCCCTGCGCGTCACTACGTCGCATACCCTCACGATGACCTTCCTAGCGAAGATGGGAATGTCCGCCATCTGCAAGGCGAGAAGCAGAGTGAAATCGGGATTAGAATCTTTACAGAATTCGACGTTTAGAAGAAAGGGGAAAATGGAACGGAAGATTACAAACCTCGAGAGAATCTTTTAATACTTTGGCGACCTCGCTTAAGTCCGGGGTGTTGTCCTCGTGCATCGCAGCAATCATCGGCGTGCTGAAAATTTCACAATTCGAAACAGAGTTTTTCGCAGTTTTTTTCATACGATAAAACTTCAATTTCGTTTTCGGTTGAAGAGATTTACCTCAAGATGAATGGATCTTGTAGTTTGGGAGAGATAGGCCCGAAAATCTCCGATTCCTGCATCATCCGAAGGATTACTCTTCGCACGATATCGCCGAGATACATTCCCGATATCATTTTCTCAAAGCCCTGAAGCATGATCACGATCGTTACGACAAAAAATGCATTCGATAGATAAATGGTGGAGTTTAGGGATAGTTTAGACCGAAATTTTAGTCTCACCTGTTCGTTCGGATTAGGGGTATCGGCATCCAAGTCGAGATCGTAAGATGTTCTTGGCAAATGAGAGGACCAAAAGTTTCCCCATTCAATGTTGACAATCTAATGGTTTATGCAGAAGCCATCAAACAATGTATAGAACAGAGGAACAAGAGAATTCATTGCAGATGTGTAGTCGAAATATGCGAAACAGAATAATACCATAGCTCCCGGAGTCGAAAAAAGGCCTTGGCATTTAATTATGGCTTCGCCACGCTCCAAATAACAGGCATTAGTACCAGTTCCAAAAGTCACAGCAGCTACTGTGTCTTCGTCGTAATAGTGACCAAGAGCCAAGGTTCCGACAGAGTCATTTATCTGCTTAAACAAAAACACACATTTTATGGTCAAAACGATAATAGAAGATAACATAACACTAAAAAAAGTCGAAGAACAGGCGCAAAATCGACAATGCCATGAAACTTCCTGAATTGGATATGAATGAGTAGAAAGAATAATGGCTAACAGCAAACAGTTTCGACACTTTTCCTCTAAATAAAACAATAAAACTTTAGAGATTCTGATGAAATAGAGCGCTTACAAGAGCAGTCACTTGCATGTTCAAGCCTTTTCGAGACATAGCCTCCAGTAGGCACTCAGAAACATCTTCGCCGACCTGTAGTAGAACAGGACATTGTTAAGCCGAACATATTTTCAGGAAAATACTTAGATTGGTTAAGGGATAAAAGATAACAACTCCATGGCACTGATCCTGCTCGAAAAAGAAGGATAAAATTACGAATAAAACAGCTAACCATGTCGGGAATAGAGAATCCCTTTGTCCATTTGATCAGATCTCCCGATGATGTAGAAATTTGTTGCACAGGAAAAGAAAAGGTGAAGCCGAGTTCCATACTTTCTGCTCGAGAACCATTAGATGCACCTTCTAAGGTTCGAACAAATTTCTCAAACGATGTTGCTATAAAATCAAAAAGCTCCTGAAAGTGGAAAAAAAGAAAAAGCAAACAAACACAAAGATGAGCACCAGATTGTTCAAGTTTCGAAAGTTAATCGATACCACAAAGCATAAGGCGATAATTTATAACTTAAGCTACCTCACTTGTGCCGGTCATCAGATGTGGTGGAATAGGCATCCGTTCAACGTCGTGTTTAATCGAATCAGACTTTTGGCCGTCTAATTCAACCCTCACAATTCGAAAATTGGTGCCGCCAATATCAAGTGCATAATAAATTCCCTGTTCGTTCCTGGAGAGCACGAGATTCCCAATGTAATCATCGAAAAAAACATTATCGAATATTTATTGTTCGATTAAGAAACCTCAAGCTGAGAAAACCACAGAAATGGACGACATCCTGCATTACAATTTTGAAGGTATGTAAAGCAATCATTGTATCGAACATAAATGCTCTTAAATCATATTACATTACGAAAATACGCCGCAATATTGATCGTTTCCATATACTATCCACGCGTCACCATCATCGACCGCTAAAGCAGAGGATCATTCTACATAGATTACAATCTCAAAGCAACTCACATAAATAACAAGAAAAATTTCAGTAATCTTTACAGCAAAAACCTCCCATCATCGAAGATTCGAGCACGAAAAAAGGGGAAACGCCTCGATAACGAACATTCTCTAATTACGAAGAAGAAAGCACATAGATTCATGAATCTAATTCACCGCAATCGAAGCATAAATCGATTCGAAATAGGCCTAATTCGAGCATTCAAACAGAACAAACACTAAAGATCAACGATCAATCCAAATCAATTTCGCAAGCGGCAATCGTTTTCGACGGAAAAACTAAAGAAATCAAATGCAAAACACAGGCAACGCCATACCAGAACACGATCAAGAAATCAACTAATTAAACGCATGCAAAAGATGCGAGGGAAGTCGCAAACACACACCTACATTGTGGCGCAGACATTAACAGATCAAATGAATTCGGAAATGCATAATTCCACGAATTGAGAATCGAGATTGTTAATCTTACCCAGTCGGAAGATTTTGCACATGAGTGAGAAGCATCTTCAACTTGGAACCGCCTTCAGACGCCAATCCCGCGTTCATTTCAACCGCCACAGCGTCGACAATCTGGCGTAACCGCTCCACGCGGGTCGCGCATCGTTCCTCAAGTTCTTCTAGAACCTTCAGCGCCCTCCACCACCGCCTCCGCCGCCTGACTCTCCGCCCCACCACCACGGCCGCCGCCAGGCACGTCCCCGTCGCAATCCCCGCCGCGAAAGCTAACCCCAACTTCCCCATACACGGCCGCCGATTACTCCCCGCGTAAATGAAGATGAAATTCGATCAACCGACCTACCAATACACAGAAACATAAATACAAACTTCGCTTTTGCTGATCAAGAAAAAAGGCAGCGCTCCGATGACAGGTACCTACCAAGAACTACCGGCAAGACAAAAAGAAGGACAACCACGCAACGAGTCGGATGACCCAAAAACCGGTCGCCGGGGCTCAAAACGACGTCGCAGAACCGTTCTGGTTTTTTGGTTTTTCTCCCTCTGGAAGAAAAACAAAAACCAAAAAAAGAAAAAATCTCTCCTTTTCGCGAGTGTGGAGAAACGAAGAAGAGAGAGAACCTTTTTTAGAGAGAGAGCATTGGTGGGACTTGGGAGCGTCGTAGGAATTCCTACTGCTTTATAAGGGGATACTTTTAAATGACAATTTTACCCCAGAGGAATCCAAGAATACCTGATTCCTCCCGTTGACTCTGACCGCCTTTATATTTGGAAAAATTTCAACCCATTCTTGAAAAGACCGTTTTGCCACAAACAAACCCCAGTTATTGGTTTATCATTAAATTTTGACGTAAATAACATATTTATACCCAAAAAGGATTGTCGATATCTACCAAAATTTATTAGATATGTAAATTGAAAATCAATACATTAAGTACTTGCAAATATAATTACCAAAACGCTCAGAAAACAAATAATAAAAGCAATAATGAAATGTAAAACAAAATATATTGCACAGGGGTATTTATGTAAAAACACCACATAACACAAAAACACCATGAATCTTAGGTAAAAACTAAACAGGGGTCCATGAGGCATTCCCTAAAACGAAAGGGCTAAAATAGGAAATTCAAAAATATAGCATGTGAATGTGCGTACACTTCCTGCTTTAATTTTTTTTTTTTTTTTTTCCTCACAGATTTATTCCAACTTTCTCTTGTTTTTACCTTTTCATTTTTCAAAAAATAAAAAAAAAAAATATTTATATATTCTTCTGAATCTCCCATGGTGGCCACGTCAGCCAAACGGCGACGGAGTAGCAGCGTATTCCTCTGCAACGCCGTACACTGCGCCAGCTGTGATCCGCTCATTCCAGCTGTGCATCAAAAAGGCACATTTCCAATCACTAAAAAAATAATAAATAAATAATAATAATTACGCCATAATATAATCACCTCTTACGGTGCGCTCGCCCGCACTCGATCCCAGCCATCGCGACAAGCCGTGCTTTCGGTGCTGCGGCTGACGCCAGCCGTCCGATGAGCGGAATCTTTTATTCATTGGTTAAAATATCGTTGACTCAACTCCGGTAGGGTCCACTAATAAAGTAGGGCCTCATTTCCTACCCCTCCCTAGCTTTAAGCACGTGCAGAATTGCAGTGCGTCAATCCGGGGTAATTTTGTAATTGCATGCGGTCAACATTCCACGTTTGTTACTATATTTTTTAAATCATCAATAAATTATTAGTGAATTTTGCTACACTATATAGTAAGTGCGAAAAATAATAATCATACTTGTGTTTTTTTTTTTTTTTTTTTTTTTGTTGAGTTTGAATAAATTTGATTTAAATTTATATTAAAATAATATTTGATGTGATATTTTGTAAGAGAAAAATATATATATTTTTTTTAAACACAGAGTTCAAATGATAAAATTTGGAGAAATTTGGACTCTGCATTTCGCCAAAAAAAATATTTTTTCTCTCATAAAACATGTCAAATTTACTATTTGAACTCTGCGTTTTTCGAAAAAAATATATTTTCTTCTCTCATAAAACATTTCATCATTTAGCAAATTTCTTCAAATTTTACTAATTTGACTCTACGTTTCCCCAAGAATTTTTTTTTTTTTTTCACAAAATATTCCATCAAATATTATTTTAATATCAAATTTAAACCAAATTTTTTCAAATTCAACCAAAAGAAACACACCTATGATTATAATTTTTCGCACTTACTATAGTGTGGCAAAATTTACTACTCCCTCTATCTCACATAATTTGTCTCTATTTTTTATTTTCGTTCGTCTCATATAATTTTTTTTTTTTTTGGAAAATTGATTATACACTTTAATCATATTTTAAAATTTAAAATTTAAAATTTTTTAATTTTAAATAAATTATTTAGTTATTTTAATCTTAGTTTATAATTATTTTTACTGATATACTTTTTTTTACTTACTAATTATACTTTACATAAATTCTCGTATTTACATTAACGTGCACATTTAGTAATAAGTGCTTGATGATTTAAAAATATATATATATGTATTGACATTTTAAAAAATGGAGTATATAATTGAAGTAATATTAAATGGGGTTGATAGTGTAGCAAAATTCACTAATAATTGATTGATGATTTAAAAATAAATAAATAAATAAATAAAAAACATATGTATATTTTAAAAATAGATTATATAATTGCAGTAATATTAAAGGGGGCTGTAATAATATTTTGGTAATAGTAATATTTATTACAGTAGGTTTCGTGTGAAATGTCCTTAGTCGGAATATGTACACCAATCTGCTGCCCACTTTAATGTCACAAGCCTTTATTGCCCCCTCATTGTTATTTCAGATTTTAAAAATAAATAATAAATAAATAAAAAAAAAAAAAAAACGGATTTGTTTATTTAATATTTTGATTTGATTTTAATTATATATATATATATGGTATAGAAAGTTATGTTGATAATATAAAAAAATAATATTTTATAATAAATATTGATTTTTGTAAAAATATACTATATATATTGAAAATAGTATCGAAAAAAATTAGGTGAACAAATCCTACTTCTCTTTAGTCCAATTTATGTTTATTAGTTAAATTTTAAAATACTACTAGTATTTTACTTTAAATGAAAAAAGTAAAAATTAAATTCATCTCTATAAAATGACAAATAAGTCAAATGATAATGATAAATTATTTTTATAGTAATATTTACAGTTGTAAGAATTTTTTAAATCTGAGTATATAAAATACAATTACTAAAGTAAAAGACGGACATATTGATTTTAAATGCATCAAAATGAAAAAATAAATAGACTGAATCATAATAAATAGGATATACATGTATATATATTGTTGTTTTCACTTATTTCATGTAAATTTACATATTTTTAATTATAGTATAAATAATTTATAAAATAATAGTATAATTTTATAAAATAATAGTATAATTTTATAAAATAATAATATTTAAAAATTTAATAATATGATATTCTTCTACATTTACTTTTTGTATTTTCTATTTAATAATAATAAAAATTTATATTTGTATAATTTATAACACATATCATTATATATATATATTATAAGATACTAATAGAGATATTTTTGTATTTGTTTTCTTAATTTTTACAATATTTTAACGTAATAATTAATATCTAAAAGATCTAACATGCAAAAAATTGAATGTAACTTTGTTATTCAGACGGATGAAGTATATTAAGGGTGTGTTCGTTTGTAGGATTTTGGTCCAAAATCCTATTATTCATCCAAAAATTTTCCCCCAAAAATATCAAATCAAACACCTATTTTTCATTTTTTATATTATACTAAAAATCAATTTTACATTCAAAACATCACATCAACACCTATAATTTATATCACATCATACAACTATTCAAATTCAAAATTTTTAATATTCAAATCCCAACTCAAAATCCAAACCTCCAAATAAACACACCCTGAAAGTCTATGGGGAAGTATTTTTATAAGTTAAAATGATATAATATTGATAATTTTGAAATCATACTAAATCAAATTATTTACAAATATTTGTACTTATATTTTATTTTATATTGTAATATTTTTGTTTAACATAATATTATTTATTTTATATTATGTAATATTTTGACTATATATAGTTAATATTAATGTAATATTATATTTTATAATATAAATATTTATATTTAATTTATAACTTCTAAAGTAACATAAATTATAAAAATAAATAAAAATGAAAGCACTGAGGGTTTGTTTGTTTAGTTTTTGCATTTGAAATTTTTTTCAATATAAAATATAGAGAATTATGTCGCTAATATAAAAAAAAAAAAATGCTACATTCATTCGGCTCTAAGGATCTCATTTACTTTCTACGTGATGATATTTGAATATTAATTATTATATTAAGACGTAGTATAAATTAAAAAAATATTGCAAAAATACTTCTATTAATGTCTTTTAATACTAAAGAAGAACATTTGTATAAAAAAATTATACAAATATAATGATATTTTTAATGTTAAGTACAATGACGTAAAAAATAAATGTGACCCTTAGAAGCGGAGGAATGAAGTAATATTTTATTTTGAATGCTGACTTTTGTGAGGAGATAATATATATATATATATATTAAAAATTGTGTAAAAAAAAAACTTTGTACTAACAAACCTTAAATATTAAAATTTAAAAAACAAAAAACAAACTTTGAGCCCAAAATGTAATACTCCCTCAGTCTCATGTAATATGGGTGTATTATTGTAGACACATGAATTTAGGTAAAGTATAATTAGTAAGTAATTAAGAAGTGTATTAGTAAAAATAATTATTATTTAGTAAAAATAATTATAGATTAAGATTAAAATAAGTAAATAGTTTAATTAAAATTAAAAAATTATAAAATTTAAAATTTAAAATGCGATTAAAATGCATAATTATATTTCCAAAAATAAATAAAGACAAATTATGTAGGACGAACAAAATAGAAAATAGAGACAAATTATGTAGGACGGAGGGAGTACTGTCTCCATAAAATTTATTCGCTTTTCGTCGGCACCTAAATTTATCTTATTATTATTTGAGAAAGTCAAAAAATTAAAATTTAATTATTAGTGAGGATCAAGTGCTAATGCTAAATTAATTCACCACAAGTTCATTTTGTTTAATTATTAGCCTTCATTTAATATTTATTTACAAAAAAATATTATTATTTTTATTATATTATTTATTTATTTATTTTAATTTCTAATTAAATTTTAAAAAAATGCACTCAATTTTTGGATCGGACCTAAATTAACTAATTTTAATAGATTGAAGGAGTCACAGCTCACTTTCGGGGGCAATCGCCCCAACCAACCCAATCTCTACAAAAATATTTTTTCAGTTTAAAATAAATAAAAAAATTTCTGTAAATATACTATCTTCATCCGGCTTCAAGTGTTTCATTTAATTTTTGTATATTGATTTTTTAATATTAATTATTATATCAAAATGTAGTATAAATTAAGAAAAAATTGAAAAAATACTTTCATTTGTGTCTTATAATACTAATAGAAGAACATTCGTAAAAAAAAAAATTACACAAATACAATGATATTTTTAATGTTAAGTACAATGACGCAAAAGGTAAATGAGACAAA